CTAAGTGGACAGCGGGTGAACAAAGAGTGAATATATAGCGGGAGCGGGCGGGTACGGAATAGAACCTTGCGGGAGCGTGCCTAAAAAAACAGTCCCGCACAGACCTCTACATTAATGCAGCAATGAAGCCAGTGACTGATTTCACGGATGTCCTCTCAGGGGAAAAATATGTCACTGTGTCCTCAGTAAAGCCTGTGTTGGAACTTCTTAAAGGCGAACTTTTATCACCAGACCCCAGTGACACTGCACTAGAAGAACCTGCACAGTAGAAACCTGATAGTGCAGAATCTTTTTTTTAATATTTTTTAAAAAGTTCTTCTAAAACTTCTAAAAGTGTTGATTTTTAGGTTTGAAATAGATTTTGAATACCATATTTCCAATGTGACTCTGCTGAGCCTCAGATGTATGCATGTGTGATCTTTCCCCTTAATGCACATCACCGTCACTGTGGTTTGTGTGTGGAATATTTAGGACCCTGTATACAGAGTTGAAAACCAAGCATGGATAGTGGTAAATTATTTTTAAAAGCTAACAAATACAGCAGAACAAACTATAAGCCGTTAACCACTATCATCCAGCCCAACTAAAGGAACACTAACTTGTGCAATTCATTTAAAGTCTAAGGTGGCTTTTGGAATTTGGAGACCCATTTAAAAACAAAAACTAATTAACAAAAAATGTTGAACCTCCAAGAGAGCCCAGGTGACATCTCATTTTATTTCTCAGCACTAACAGTTACTGCTCACATCTAGTTCAAGACATTGAGCATGTCTACAACTAGGGCTGGACAATAATTCAATATCAATATGTATCGCGATATAATTTTTTTCAATAACGGTGATATGATTTTTAAACACATTTCCGATATTTCGATATACATTACCAGTTTCCCATACATTGATTTATTTGTGCCGTTTGACTTCGTTGAATAAACATGAGCACTGCACGTTTCAAAATCATAACACGGCACGGGTGTTTTATATGAATGTATCTCTGAAGGAAACCGACTGTCTTCAGAAA